CTCGGCATCTGCTCGCCCCCTTCCTCCCACCACGACAACTTCATCGGCTACAAGTTCCTCTCCTCCAGCCCCACCTGGAAATCCGGCTCGGGCTCCATTTCCCTCCCCTTAGTCAACCTCCGATCCAACTACTCCTTCCGGATCTTCCGCTGGACCGAAGCCGAGATCGACCGGAACCACCTCGACGAAGACCACAACCCTCTCCCAGGAACCGCCCACCTACTCGCCACGTCGGACGATGAGCTCACCTTCGAATCGGGTCGGGGCCCGGATCAGATCCACCTGTCCTACACCGACGCAGACGACGAGATGCGGGTCATGTTCTTGACGTCAGACGCCGCGGAGAGGACGGTTCGATACGGTCCGAGCGACGACTCGCTTGATGACGTGGCAGTGGCGCATGTGGAGAGGTACGAGAGGGAGCACATGTGCGATTCTCCCGCCAACGCTAGTATCGGGTGGAGAGACCCCGGGTTCATTCACGGTGCGGTCATGACTCGGTTGAAAAAAGGCGTCAGATATTATTACAAGGTACAAAAATTAAATTAAATTGTTGAACAAATTGACAACGAATTTTTGAAAATTCTGATTATGTATGTTATGTTAATGTTTTCAGGTTGGGAGTGACAATGGAGGTTGGAGCAAAACGCAGAGCTTCGTGTCACGAAACAGGGATTCGGACGAAACGACGGCGTTCATGTTCGGCGACATGGGCACTGCAACGCCTTATGCGACGTTTTCTCGGACCCAAGACGAGAGCATATCCACAGTCAAATGGATCCTCCGGGACATTGAAGCTCTCGGTGACAAGCCGGCTTTTGTGTCCCATATCGGAGACATAAGCTATGCAAGAGGCTACTCTTGGTTGTGGGATCAGTTTTTCAGTCAAATTGAACCTCTTGCGTCCAAGTTGCCTTACCATGTTTGCATTGGCAATCACGAGTATGACTGGCCCTTGCAGCCATGGAAACCAGAGTGGGCAAGCATGTATGGGAAAGATGGAGGTGGTGAATGTGGGGTGCCGTATAGTCTTAAGTTCAACATGCCTGGAAACTCATCGGAACCAACCGGAGCTGGTGCTCCGGCTACTCGAAATCTTTACTATTCGTTCGATGTTGGCTCTGTCCATTTTGTGTACATATCTACTGAGACCAATTTTGTTCAAGGAAGCAAGCAACTTGAATTTATTAAGCGTGATTTGGAGGCGGTGGATAGGAGGAAGACACCTTTTGTGGTGGTGCAGGGACATAGGCCAATGTACACAACCAGCAATGAGAGAGGCGATGCTCCTTTGAGGGAGAAAATGCTGGAGCACTTGGAACCTTTGTTTGTGAAGAACAACGTGACTCTGGCGTTATGGGGACATGTACACAGATATGAGAGGTTTTGTCAGTTGAATAACTATACTTGCGGGAGTGTGGGGCCTGTTCATGTTGTGATTGGGATGGCAGGACAAGACTGGCAGCCCATATGGGAGCCTAGACCGGATCACCTAACTGACCCGATCTACCCACAGCCTGAGCGGTCTTTGTACCGCGGTGGTGAATTTGGGTACACTAGGTTGGTTGCTACAAAGCAGAAGCTTACACTTTCTTATGTTGGCAACCATGACGGAAAAGTGCACGATACACTGGAGATTCTGGCGTCCGGACAAGTTCTCGGCGTTAACGGAGCTGGTATCAAAGCTGTTGATAGCAGTAGTGGTGGTGCTGGCGAGCCTGGAGTTATTGGGGGCAGTGGGGAGTCTACATTCTCTTGGTTTGTGAAGGGAGCAAGTCTGGTGGTCCTTGGGATATTTGTAGGCTATGTTGGGGGTTACATTTCATATGCCAGGAAAAAGGTTGGCACTGGAAATGTCTGGACCCCTGTGAAGAGTGAGGATATGTGAGCTCCAGATTGCATTGGTAAGCCTTTAACACGCCTGTTGTAAATATTCAGATTTCTTCACACTTGTTTTGTGATCTATATGCAAATTAATATATAGGTTCCTCTCTTTCTTTACCCATGTATATAGTACCTTCATGATATACTTAAAATTTCTTCAGGGAAGATAGTGAAATCGGGAAACTACGTGCAACAAGGTAACTGCAAAGGGAAAAAAGTAAAATTGAACAAAAAGGCTCATTTTATTGCATGCGTATATCCCAAATGGGGGAAAACCAATAATATATACAATCAAGAGGGAATCAAAATTGTATAGTTACAGTAACTAAAGTTATGTGGAACTTTTTATGTAGCCTGGAATTCTAAGTCTCTAGACCTTCACTTCCCAAGCAGACGGCGTGTACGTTGGTTGGCACCTTTCATTCGAGAGTTAAGCTCATCAACGTCGTCAGAGAGATGATCGATAGTTTTGTTTTGCCTGCATTTTCCACATAATACTTAACAACAACGTAGAGATATAGATGCAATCATGAAGAATGCGCAGAGAGTAGAAGAATGATATTGACCTGTTAAGTTCACTTCCCATGTCCACAGCCATACCCTTCAAATCACCCAAAATATTGCTCAGGTCTGAAAGAGCATCATCTTGCTTTGCCTTCTCATACTGGTATTGACAACCAATCCCATATAAGTAAATCTGGAGAACATGTAGCCCTAAACCCTAAACCCATATAAGTAAATCTTACCTCAACTTGCTGCAAGGCACCTGATCCATCAGGAGGAGGTGTTGCAGGAGCCGACCTTCCTTTGGGTATGGGAGCTAAACCCAACTTTTCCCTCTGATGGGGGTCACTTTTTGTGGGTGCAGAAGCTGAACATGATCACCAGATCAAAACCAAATTACATTATACAATAAGTTTCACGATGCTTTGAGTATGCAGAGCAAGTAGATTATTATAACAGAAGCACACCTGCTGAAAAATCAGGCCCAGAAATATCCTTCCCCTTCTTTGCCTTCCAAGGCATTGCAAACATACCCCCAAGATTATTTAAAAGCTTCTCACCCTGTTTTGAAAATGCATCATTAGGTAAAATGGTAAAGGGGAGCAAAAGAAATGCTGCTCAAAAATCACATGCATCCCTACAAGGATTTCACAAATGCTGCCTCTTCTTGTTTCATAGTTTCAAACTTTCTTGTGTCGTAAGAAAAATTAAGTAAATAACAAAACCAGAGAGTTCATAAACCAAAATCCTGACAACATTGAGCTTACCCGACTCAAATCCTTATCTATATCGACAGCCGCCATGTGGGTCCTTGTAATTTGCTCACCCTGCGCGTGCAACATGTCAAGGGTCTTTGTAGCATCCTCTCTGATGTTCTCAGCAATCCTGAGGCAGTTGTTGACACTCTGTGTAGTCTCCTCAGCCTTGTACACAGCATATTTCTCCAACTCTTGCACACTCTGGTTCTCTATCCCCCCTGAGTCACGAAAATCATTCTTGTAGGAAGCAGGCGAAGACCCTCTTTTACCAGGCTTTTCTTTACTAAAATCCGGGGTTATAAGCATCGGTTCAGAAGAAGTTCGTCTTGCAGGCTTATGAGTGTCCTTATCAGTTTCTGAATCAGCAGGAGCTTGAAATCCCGGGTCTACAGAGTTTTGCTTAGCAATCTTTGCTGGTGATTTCTTAAACCCAAACATTTTGACAAGAAACCAAAGTTGTCAAGTGTTTAGTTTTGACTCCAAAGTCACTAAATCAAAGGAATTGGTAGAAACCCTGTGTAGACTTAAAAAAATGGTGCCTACAACCACAGACAAGGTTCAACAATGAGAACAAATTCCGAAAGATTACCGAAACACAAGAACCAGAAGGCAATCACAAATATTTCATACAACTGTACCAATCAATCAATAGGGGCATTCATATGTATTCTGTTTCAATCAAAAAAAGATTACAAATTTAGAAATAGAAGAAGATCAAATATGGCACTGAGTGTGAAGGAGGCTGAGAAAGTTGACCCAGAAAGAAAACAGGAATACAAATTCACAACTAGGATTTCCAAATGTCTTATATACGCTTTCCTTACCTTTGCAAAGCAACCCAAAAGAACAATAATGAAACAAAATACAATTCCACCGAATTCAATAGCAAAACAGAAAAGGTGAAGAATGATATCGCAAACATTTCCACTAAGAAACACGACATGGGTTATGATCAAGACCCAGAATGTACCTAGAAGTTTCGATAAAAATCGAAAATTGGCAGAGTTTCATACACAAACCAACACTGGTTTGGTTTGGGATTTGGTTTGTGCTTGAAACGAGAAGAGGAATAATCTAGAGAATGGAGAGAAACGAAGGGTTTCCTTTGGAGAAGTATTTATTTTCTCTGTCTGTGGCTATGAGAAAAATCAGAGAAAGGCGCCGCGGAAAAGCAGAGAACTGGACGGCTCTAACCTCCTCCAAGTCCAATACCAACTTTGAGTCCTTTCAGACCGTTGGGATTTACCCTCCTCCCTCTTCAAATCACCTTTTTATTATTATATATATTTAATCTTTATGGATAAATAGATGATTATTGTATACACATATATGCATGCCACGTGGGCGGACCAGATGTCGAGCTGGCACTATGGTGAATGGGGATATGGCAGGCTTGCTATTGGGCTAAGCCTTACCAAATGGTCTTTATTGGGTCTGCTTTTGAGTTGGAAGAGGAGGTGATTGGCCCAGACCTTTTTCATTTATCTTTTTCTTTTAACCCAAAACTCTTTTATTCTAGAATCTTCCCTGGAATTGGAAGGATGAACTAAGAAAATTCTAGAAAAGGGTAATTTAAAGAATGCATTAAAAGGGAGCAGAACGGTGTTGATGATCATCTTGCGTAGTTTTGATGTATTCCCAATTTCTTTGGCTCCTATTTGGATGATGAGATTAAATCGGGTGTTGGCACTTAGGAAATTTGCACAAATGCCACATAAACTATTAGAGGTGTGCATATTTACCACCGAATAAAAGGAATTTAGCTCTGTACCACCCAAACTTCACATTTAGTGCTAATCTACCACCTCCGTCAATTTTTGTTAAATTTTCTATTAAAAATGGGCCCATTTGTTAAATTTTAATTCATCCGCAAATTCAAAATAATGAAGGAAAAAAAGCATTTAAACCAATAAATAAAAATGAATGTGGCCATTTGGGATATGAAGGGGCAAGCAAGACCCCAAAAGAAGGTGTGAGTTGTTTGGATGGTGGGGGTAAGTAGCTAACGATAATGGCAGGCCCGCTTGTGTTGGCCCAAAGTGGGAAGAGAGGTAAGGTACGCAATTAAACAAATCTTCATATACGTTTCAAGGAATCTTGATTAAATGCATAAACCCACCAAGAAAAAAGTTTCATTAGTGAGGGAAAGCGACGAATCAAAATATTTCCCTCGTTTGAAACATGAGGAACTAGAAGTTTACGTTTGTGATGAAACAGCGCAGACGCAGAGCTATCAGCTAAGTGCCCAACAAAACAAGATAAGCAGACAAAATACAAGACTCTCTCTTTCACTCATTTTCTCATTCCTTTGCTTCTAACTCCCAGCAATGGCGACTTTACCGACATCCGCACACTCAAATTTAGCTACTCAATCCAAGTTTATCTCAAGCTTCATATACTCGAACACCATAAGAAGAAATTCAAGACGGTTCTTTATCAGTACCTCTTGTTCCAGTCGAGCAAGGAGACAGCTTTGTGTGAAGACTGTGGCTACTGATCAGAAAGATGCTGCCACCCAAACCCAAGAAGGTTTGTTTGTTTTCTCAACCCTCCTCCCTAATGTTTTGTTTGCTTTTGTTCAGAGTTTTGGCTGTAATTTGCTATTATGCGATGTGCTTTCTCTTTTCTTTTTTTCGGTGGAATTTTCAATGTTTTTTTTTGACAAAGTGAAAAGAGCTGTGATTCTGTGAATGGGAAAGATTGATGCTTTCCAAGCCAATTATAGAAGTACTTGCCACCCATCTCAGCTGAGGTGGGAATTCACTTTGCCTTTATCATTCTAAGCCAAAGTGGCCCATCATAGTCTCATTCAGTTTCAAAATTTCACTGCCCCGTGGGTTGCTGGATTTTGTTGTCAGTCACCAACATAATCTAGTGAAATTAATGGAGGACATTGTGTTTTCAATCTTGGACACCCCCGTTCTGAATGTCAAAGGTCTTGTCCCAATTCGGACTTATAAAATTCATGAAGCTGTTATTTGATATGGTTCTATGAATTTTTGCATGTAAGTGTTGTAGGTAGTTTGGCTACATTTCCTCCGGATTCGGCATCCCTTGCATCGATTATCAAATACCATGCAGAATTCACACCTTCTTTCTCTATTGAGTCCTTTGGGCTTCCCAAGGCATTCTATGCCACAGCAGAGAGTGTTCGTGACATGCTTATCATGAATTGGAATGAAACATATGAGTACTATGAGAAGCTGAACGTAAAGCAGGCATATTATCTCTCAATGGAGTTCCTACAGGTTTGCCATGAGTCTCTCTCTTTGTCCTTCCAAAGGCTGAAAATTTCTTGTGGTGTATATATTACTTGCTAAGAGTAAGGGGTATTATTATCTGTTACGTTTTTAAATTGTTGCAGGGTAGAGCATTGCTAAATGCAGTTGGTAATTTAGAGCTTTCTGGGGCTTATACGGAGGCTTTGAAAAAGCTAGGGCACAATCTAGAGGATGTAGCTACGCAGGTCAGATTCACTGACCATTTGATTGAGTTATGATTTCATCGTATGGTACCGAATCACTTTTACATTAGTTCATTGCAACTTCCGTTTCACTTTCCTTTGAGTAGACTTAACTAACACTATCCTTTACTTTGGAAATCTCTAAATTCTGTGTTGTTAAATCTTGATTGACAGGAACCAGATGCTGCTCTTGGAAATGGGGGACTGGGGAGACTTGCTTCATGCTTTTTGGATTCCCTGGCCACCCAAAATTACCCTGCATGGGGATATGGGCTGAGATACAAGTATGGCTTGTTTAAGCAGCACATTACAAAAGATGGGCAGGAGGAAGTTGCTGAAAATTGGCTGGAGGTTTGATCATCTTTTGCATTGTTATGCAAGAAACTTTTCCTTTATTCTTATGCTCTTTAAGGGTAATTCAGTGATTTTTAAAGGGTCACACATGGTATTGATTTATATGATACCTGTTAATTGATTAAAGTATCTCTTATCAGATGGGAAATCCGTGGGAAATTCCAAGAAATGATGTTAGCTATCCTGTGAAATTCTATGGCGAAGTTGTTTCGGGCCCAGATGGAAATAAGCAATGGATTGGGGGAGAAAATGTCATGGCCGTTGCCTATGATGTCCCCATACCAGGATATAAGACTAAAACCACCATAAACCTTCGACTATGGTCCACAAAAGTTGCACCAGAAGAATTTGACTTACATGCTTTCAACACTGGTGACCATGCCAAGGCATATGCAGCTATAAAGAATGCTGAGAAGGTTTGGATGAGCTCATCAGAATCATTAAGCTTCTTCTTCCAAATTTGCTTTACAGTGTGTTGCTTTAATTTTGTATGCTCGGGAACTGCCATAACCAACTAACAATGGTTATTTTAATCCCTTTTCCTGATTAGATCTGTTATATATTGTACCCTGGGGATGAATCTGTGGAGGGAAAATCCCTTCGATTGAAGCAACAGTATACTTTGTGTTCTGCTTCTCTCCAAGATATAATTGCACGTTTTGAAAGGAGATCAAGGGAGCCAGTGAAATGGGAAGAGTTCCCCGAAAAGGTTGCAGTGCAGATGAATGATACTCATCCAACACTCTGCATTCCGGAGTTGATAAGAATATTGATGGATGTGAAGGGCTTGAGCTGGAAGGAAGCCTGGGATATTACTCGAAGGTACTTCCTTTCTTGGTATTTTCTCAGTAGATGTGCATTAATTTATTAGCTCTTTAGCTCCAAGTTGGTGCATTCCTTGTGATCTGATATACACACAGGCACAATGCATTGAATCCTCATTGTTACTTATACGAATTGCACTCATAATTTTTTAATTCAAAACTATTATGCCAGAACTGTTGCATACACAAACCATACAGTTCTACCTGAGGCATTGGAGAAATGGAGTTTGCAGCTTATACAAGAACTGCTTCCTCGGCATGTTGAAATCATAAAACTGATTGACGAGGAGGTAATATTTGAGGCCATACGCTTCAAATTTTAATCAGAACCAAATCTTCATCAAGTATTCTTACTGCTGGACAAGTGCAAATGTGCTGAAGCACCTATACATACATATTTATCAGTCTCAATATTTTTATTGTATAGAACAAATTATTTATTCTTTACTTTGTACCATACTAACATATGTGATGTCTTGGCCAGCTAATTCATACCATTATTGCTGAGTATGGCACGGAGGATCTTGACTTATTGGTACAAAAACTGAGAGAAATGAGAATTCTTGATAATATCGAGTTACCTGACTCTGTCCTCGAAATTCTGAGTAAATCAGAAGAAAGTTCTGCGGTTGATCACATTGAGGAAGTTGATAAAGAAGCTAAAGCTACTGATGAAGAAGCTCAATCGGAAGGACTGGACAGCGAGAAGAAAAAGGAGGTTACATTTGAACCAGATCCTAAACTGCCAAAGATGGTTCGAATGGCTAATCTATGTGTTGCTGGTGGACATGCAGTAAATGGGGTCGCTGAGATTCATAGTGAAATAGTGAAGAATGAAGTATTTAACGATTTTTATATGGTATAAACATCAAACGGCTACTTTTTGTTCTTTGTTTCACCATAACCATCCTATTCCTACAACAACTTGAAGTGTTACTGGTAGCCGATTATTATTAATTGCATGTTTTCTCTAAACTTGTTTTCACGTACATTACTTCTGGCAGTTGTGGCCTGAGAAATTTCAAAACAAGACAAATGGGGTGACACCAAGAAGATGGATTCGATTCTGCAATCCAGATCTAAGTAAAATTATAACCAAGTGGACTGGAACAGAAGACTGGGTAAAAGATACTGAAATCTTGGTGACCCTTGGAAAGGTAAAACATCATATCCGGACTTGTAACTGTTTGAATATTTCTGCTTGTCATGTGATTTTTCTTATATTAAACTCTCCGAGTGATTATTTATTTTTGAATCTTTCTCAACAGTTTGCTGATAATGAAGATCTCCAATCTGAATGGAGGGAAGCAAAAAGGAGAAACAAGATAAAGGTTGCATCCTTCCTCAAGGAAAAAACTGGTTATCTAGTCAACCCTGATGCAATGTTTGATGTACAGGTCATTCTCTGCCTCTCAAATATTTGCTCTGTTTTGCTGGCAAAGATGAAGCAATTTTTGGCTCATAAGAACTTTATCCAAGTCAATGTGTTGGCAAAGATGAAGCAATTTCTTTGAGCAATGGGATTGCCTTGGCCTTGCTTTTGCTCATCATACAACTCTTTTTTTTTTTTTAGTCGAATCATGCAACTCATTTTGATATTGTACAGCAATCTCAGTTTATTATACTCTTGTTGTAAGCTCTGGAAAGAAGAGGATAAAGTAAATCTACACAATTTCAGGTGAAGCGCATTCACGAATATAAACGGCAGCTATTGAACATCCTGGGAATCGTTAATCGCTACAAAAAAATGAAGGAAATGAGTCCTGATGAAAGAAAAGCAAGGTTTGTTCCACGGGTATGCATATTTGGAGGAAAGGCATTCGCTACATATGTCCAAGCCAAAAGGATCGTGAAGTTCATCACAGATGTGGGAGCCACTGTGAACAACGATCAAGAGATAGGTGACCTTTTGAAGGCACGTTTTGGCTCACAAACAATACCAGCTTCACCATCATGTTCTCAGTAATGAACTAATTATTCTTTTACTACATTATTTATCTTTGATCTTGCAATTATAGGTTGTATTTGTTCCTGACTACAATGTCAGCGTCGCGGAAGTGCTCATTCCTGGTAGTGAGCTGTCTCAGCATATCAGGTTTCTAATTACAAGCATTTCATACAAGAATTGCTTCAATTGTCCAATTGCTTGCAGATCATTGAGCCATCAAAAACTTTGTCTGTCTCAGCACTGCAGGAATGGAGGCGAGTGGAACCAGCAATATGAAGTTTGCAATGAACGGGTGCATACAAATTGGAACTTTAGATGGTGCTAATGTTGAAATAAGGCAAGAGGTTGGAGAGGACAACTTTTTCCTTTTTGGTGCACATGCTCATGAAATTGCCGGGCTAAGGAATGAAAGAGCTCAAGGAAAGGTATCATTCAGTTAACATACTACTAGATTAGAGCTCTTGATTTGTTGTTTGATGTTTAAATATATATTTTCGTGTGAATAATATATATATATATATATATATGTGTGTATGCGCGCGCAGTTTGTGGCTGACCCTCGGTTCGAAGAAGTAAAAGCATATGTGAGAAGTGGTGTTTTTGGTCCCTACAACTATGACGAACTTATGGGATCTTTGGAAGGAAATGAAGGTTATGGCCGTGCTGATTATTTTCTTGTTGGCAAAGACTTCCCTAGTTATTTAGAGTGCCAAGACAAAGTTGATGAAGCATATCGAGACCAAAAGGTGTGACTATTTATATTTGTGTTTTTGTTGCATTCACCTTTATTATTATCATTTTCCTTGTTGAAGATTTTCTTTTTGCATTCATAATTAATATGAGATATATAATGATGCAGAGATGGACAAAGATGTCGATCTTGAACACAGCTGGTTCATACAAGTTCAGCAGTGACCGTACCATTCATGAATACGCAAGAGACATATGGAGGATTGAACCTGTTGTCTTACCCTAAAGTAATCAATTGTAATTAGCCTAATTAAGCTCGGTTGTTAATAACTTAACACATTCACTCACCTATATAGGTCAGCCTAGCCAAATAAACCCCTACTTAGTGAGCTCTCTTTTCTCTTAATCTTTTAATTAGCTACTTTAAAAAATAATGGCCTTATCAAGTGCTATTCTTTGAAACAAATCGATTGCTTTTGAAATCCAACCCAAGCACACATATATAAAATACTATTCCACATATCCTAGTCATAGGCAGAGGAGTATGCGCAAGAGAAAATACCTTTTTTAAGTGATTAAATTTAAAAGGTATTCTCTCTTTCGCATGCTATTCTGCCTTTCTAAAGCAGCTCTTTTTGACTATAAATTAAAATCTACTTTATGGACGAATATTTAACTTTAGGCCTCGTTTGTTAGGGATGATAAGACTAGACTAGCAAAGTTGGCAACATTTCATGTGCAATCAAGGCATATTCTGAATATTGTTGTCTAACTTAGAGGATGAAAAAGGACTATATATTCATTAGAGGTTGATGACTAAAACTCATAGGCGGCCCTAGCCCAGGCTGCCCAAAGCTGATAAGGGCACACAATTGTTTTACAGCCCCTATATGTGTATATTTAAAAATAATAATAAATATTGAAAAAAGGAACCAAACCTTCAAAACTAGAAGGAGCCGTTCCTGATATGGTGGCATCATAGCACAAATCACTTTTCGATACTCTCAAGGAAACTTCCTTACTTGGAAAACAAAGTCAAATATATATATTATATAATATAACAAAAGAAAAACCAACCATAAGGAAATTAAACAAAGATAAACCAACATCCACATAAAAATAAAATCAAAAATCAAAAAGCAAAAAGGATATCAAACACAACACAAGAAGACTATCAAATGCAAGCAAATTTTTATTTTTATTTTTTGTGATTCACTTCTTCTCAAACACCAAGTTGGAAAACAATCCTCCACAAGACTAGACCAGTGCCTTTCTTTCAATATTTTTATTTATTTATCAGATCTTTCAAGGTTCTTCCTTTTTTATAGATAGATATAGATGTATAAATTTTATAATAAATTATACACTTCTTTATTAACTTCTTTTTATTCATTATTTAATTCAACAAAAAAATTGGTAAAGATTCTTGTTCTTTACAATTAGAAGTTTCAAGTTAAAGAAAAGATGCTCAAAATTCAAGTTTTATTGTTATTTGTTAATTAGTTTTTTTGTTATTGTCTTGTGTTTATTATAAAAATAAAAAAAAAAAAGTTTCACTAAAACACCCAAAATGGGGGCTGCAATTATAAAAAGACCCAACACCCAAAACACTTTATAAATACACCAAAAACCCATCATTACACACACTCAAAACTCATTTATAAACACACCCAAAAAATATACAATTGTTGATTTTGTGGTTGATTTTGGGTGTGTTTCTATGTTTAAATAGTATTTGGGTTTTTTTTATAAATACATGTCTAGAATTGGGTTTATTTATAGATTTCTATTAAAAAAATGCTTCCTAATAAACAACTTTATGGAAATCTCAAAAGCAGTGGCGGAGCTAGGATTTTGCATTAGAAGGGGCCCTTCACAAAATGTTATAAAATAATTCGAATAGGAGCATTTAAGTGCAAACCGGTTAATGAGTTAATATGATACTAACTACTCAGTTTAGCCCACTTCATAATATCATTTCATTTTGATTAATCATTTATTTGTTCATTACAATTATAATTGTCCTTAATTTCATATTATAAATGCTTGAATATTAATCTCATCATCTACACTATTAAAGACTCATAAGTTAATAATTCATATTCCAATAGAGAGAAGAAATACAAAAAAGTTCATAAATCTACCCTACTTAGACATATCTATGGGAATATGATTCCTTTATTATAAAAAAAAGTTGTTCTGGAACTCATTCTCTTGATTTCTTTATTGACATGCATATACAACTCACCTATGACCTAGAGTTCCTAGGCCAACAACACCACTTTTAAACACACTACTTTAATAATTCGATTGTTAACTGCAACTGATGTAATCTGGTCCATCTCCACCCCATTCCAACTATAATTACGCACAGAAAAAACTAAAGCGTAAAAAGGTGCGGACGGGAAAACTCATAGACATGACTTAAAGATATCCCAAGCACGATCAGAATTCTAGTGGAACTTGCCCTACCTATATATAGATAGTTCACGAGTGTGAAATAGCTAGGGCTCCTTGTGTTTGTTTTGCCCTACCTAGCTACCTGTTGGAACGTACGATTTTTCAAGCCATCGATCTCATGCAGAAATAGAGATTATTATCTTGATTACAGAATGTAATTAAGTTTTTTTTTTCCCCGGATCATATGTTATGCTTATGATGTGATTAGGCTCTTTATATGTAAAAGGTGTGAAACCCTTTTGAATTAAACAAGTGGAAGGAAATTAAACTTTTGCGAGGTGGTCCATCCTTCAATTTCATAGCTAGCAGAGAGATGTGTGTGTGTGTGTGTGTGTGTGTGTGTGTGTGTGTGTGTGTGTGTGTGTGTGTGTGTGTGTGTGTGTGTGTGTGTGTGTGTGTGAGAGAGAGAGAGAGAGAGAGAGAGAGAGAGAGAGAGCAGTGCATTATGTATAATATCATAAAGCAACCCCACTTAATTAAAAATGATTCTAAAGCTAAAGTTAAAATATAAAAAAGGTACACTCCAACAATTATTTGTGCATGAAAGCTAGCTAGCATTTGGTTCATTCATGCATATACATATGATGATTTGGTATAAATTTCACTTCCCCGACATGCATATTTTTTTGTGAGCAGTTAAGATTCTGCAGAAGAATATCTTTTGGCCTAAATGTGTCTGTGTGTCACTTTCAGTTAGGGTTTCGCAGAGGGAACAAAAAATGGTTGTTGAAGCTAGAATCATGGCATTTGTGCCTCCACTATGAGTGTAATCATTATAATTTACTAACAATGGAAACTTATGATTATATATGCATCAAGGTTCAATGCTTCTGGTTAATCTTGGTATAATTCCCTTGACCCACTTTTGCTTATATAATTGAGCACTGTATCTAGTCTTTACTTCCTGTAACCCTAATTTTTCGGTGTCGGCCGGTTTTAGATTAACATCTTTTTTTCTTTCTGATTAGGAGAGAATTTAGCATCAAATTTACACTAGGGTAGGGGTTACAATACTTGTCAATATATCACCAAAAGCAGAAAAAAAACAAATGGTCTCCTCGCAATACTCACAAATCTTGAGCAGCTAATACGGTTTATTAATAAACTGCAAGTGGGATGAAAAGGATATCTAATCTCAAATCACAAATGGCGCTGCTTATCAATGATGACCAACATGAACCGCAAATGTTTGGTACGGCCTAAGCAGCCTAGCTAGTTTGGGTTATATATATTCTTTGTTTTGTCAAAGAATGCGACATTGAGGTTTAAACCTGAGACCAATAATTTGCAAATCATCAAGGTTTTTTTCTTCGGGACTAGACTCCGGGCCTCTCTCAATTGAATTAGAAAAATATGTATTAACACATTAATTATTGCAGTAGATTGATAGGAGCTTGATGCGACGCGGATTCATGATTAGCATACATTAATCCATAACGTTTTGATAGGCACCTTATAAAATAAGAAGATTAAACTCTGGGAACTGTAGAATACATATATTATATCATTTATATACGACATCACATGCATGCAGATTAATGAGTCATGACAAAGTGACAATGACCGAAATAAAGGAAGAAGAAGAAGGAAAAAACTAATCCAAGGAACGCGGTATCTTGTTTGTTTTCAACTTTCACTCGATTATAATTTCCAAATGCTTTTTTGCTCCTTCACGTTTTCTTTAAATTTCTACTTTCTACCAAACAATTATATTAGAGGAATATATATATATATATATATATATATATTTATATGGCTGGTGGTGGGGGTGGTTTGGTGACTTGTGAATGTGATGTTACTTTATCCAACGAGCTGATTCTGGAGTTTCAATTGAAGCTAGTATCCATGTTTTAGGCTTTTAGCCAGTCACTTTTCTTTCCTTTCTTTCTTTTCTTTCTTTTAGGTGCAAGATAATGCGGCACAGTGCACACGCGTTCATCTACAATAGCTACTACAATCCAACACAAACCAAAAATAAAAAACAAAAACAAATCTGGAACAGCTGCGATCCAATAAATATATACGAGTTATTGGTTCATAATCGTGGGTTTAAGGCATATTTGCAGCTCCTTTCTATATCAAATTTTAAAGTTAAAGAAAAATTATGTCTGTCTAGGTAGGTCTAAACTCCGTCCCAAATTTTTTGAAATTCTCTCATACCTATATAACCCAAAACAAAATAGACTTTTCTGAAATTTCAATAGAAACTTTCTGATTGGAAAAATTGGCCTAAAAGTTACCCGTAGTTATTTTTCAATCATGAGTCCGTGTCCTCTGTTTATGTACAGACAAATATCAATTCAAGATTAAGAATTTAGAGTTCAAATTAGCATTAATCTGCAATTAATACGTATCGTTCAACTCAGTGCGTAAAAACAATTTACGCTCTTTTTGGGTCATTATTTTTGCGTCATTATATTATCAAGCCTCCAAAAACTCCAGCAATAAAATATTAAAATAAGATTGAAATCACGTTCTCGCAAGTGATTTTGAAATTTCAAATGGTCCAACTTGCTTTTTATTTCTTGTCCGTTTTAGCAACAAGGATTTATATCTATATTTAACTTTTTATAAATAAAATCGTATGCCTAGCTGAGCTAACTAGGTGGGTAAAGAGCGACCCAACTCCACCAGTTGTGCCGGGGATATGGTAGCTTGGACCCCATCCTAACCTATAGCCTATAGCCTATTGACACACCACCAACTAAGCAAACATTTGCAATTTGTTTTTAATTATACATAATACATTATTATAATTTTTGGCAAGGTAATAATTGTTCTGAGAATTATAATAAATTAATTACCAAATAATAGAACCGGTGGAGGCAAGACAGGGAGATGGTGAGGCTCCTCGCTGGTCTGCACTGTATACTGAGGAGGAAACCGCAACCACTCGGTTGATGACATTACAAATTTTGGATGCTTGACTACTCGTGAAATATTTCTCTATTTCTATTGTATTGTCCCGTTCTTTCTATTTCTCTTCTTTAATAAGTAATATGAAGAGTGAGATAGGAAGAAAGGGACAATAAAACGAGTAGAGAAGTTTTTCTCCCACT